ACGCCATGCTGGCCCGGAGGTGAGCCTGGGTCCCTCAGAAGTCAGCCACATGCTGCAGTTTCAGGGTTAGGCTGTTGGGAGTGCTGACTGGGGCCTCCTCCCCTTCCTGGCCTCTCTCCCTTCCCTCTCATGTCTAGCCTAGGCTGAACTTCTGATGCTCCTGCCTCAGCCTCCTGAGCACTGGGATGTCACACCTGCACCCAGCTTCTTTGTGTCTTTGAGTGGCAGTGCTGCCTGATGACAGCCATCCGCTGAGGTGGCTCACAGGCTGTAAAGTGCTCACACTCTGTGCTTGAGCCATAGGAGACCCTCCCTGAACATTCTAGAAGCTTAGACGGTCTAGAAGCCCCCTCACCCTTACAGTTCCTAGGGGGACCCCTCCAAATTCGCGAGGAGCAATCTCTGAGCTGGATTTTTCCTTAAATTTTAAGTTCTTTCTTTTTACTTATTGTATATGAGTGTGTCCATGGCTCCCCAGAAGAGCGGTTGGTTTCTCTCCTTCCACCATGCCGGTTCTGGGAATCAGAGTCAAGTTTAACAGTTCCTTCCTGAACCATCTCATCAGCTCAGAACTGGATTTTTGGTGTTGCTGTTCTCAGCCCTGGCTAGGCTGGAACTTAGAATGATTCTCCTGCCTCTGCCCCTCACATGGGATTACAGGCTTGTGCCATGCTGTCCCGTGTATTTTTCTGTTTTTGAGACAGTCTCTCACTGTGTAGAGCAGGGAGGCTTTGAACTCACAGAGATCTGCCTGCCTCTCTTTTTAAAAGTATTATTACATTTATTTATTCATTGTGGATGTGTGTTTATGTGGAGGTTCGATAACCTGCGGGACTCAGTTCTCTGCTCCAACCTTCACATGGGTCCTCAGGATTCAGTCAGATGATTCAGCTAGGTGGCAAGCACTGCTGTCTGCCGAGGTATCTTGCAGGCCCCTTCTTTAACTTTTCAACCTATCCTGGAATTTAGTGAGAGGGGTCCTAGGACTGGGGAGCATGAACTTTAGCTTGTCTTTGCTTGCCCCTCTGCAGAAGGAAAGCCACACAGGTTGGGGAGAAGCCCCCCAAAGACGAGTCAGCCAGTGTAAGTAGGGGGCTCTATATTCCTTATGATGTACCCTAGTACCCTAGGGCAGGGAGGAGGTGTGACAGGGTTGAGCTGGCTTTGGACTTGGAAGAGGAACAGTGGCATAGAAAGATTAGTTTATGATACTTTTATTTACCGCCAGCAGGAGGAGCCAGAGGCCCGACTCCCTGCCCAAAGTGGTGAGTGACAGTGCTGTCTATCTAAAGAAACTACAAATCCCAGGATGCATTGTTCTTGCTTAGAAAGCACTTAAGAGGAAAAATCTGTGAAAACAGTACTGGGGATTGTAGTTTTCTAAAATTCTTTGCCCTGGTGAGTTGAGTGGTGGTACAGTACTGTGGGGGCAATGCTTGTCTCTGATCTTTCTTATTTGTTGCCCCACCCCCACACACAGAACCTGTTCGAAGACCCTGGGAGAAGAACAGCACAACCTTGCCAAGGTGGGTCATGACTATTGGGGAGGAACATAATATAACCCCTGGGATAGGAAAAGCGGGAGGCAACCCACCACCCAGCCTCATTCCTGTCCTGTACCAACTCTTTCAGGATGAAGTCATCCTCTTCTGTGACTACCTCCGAGGCCCATCCCTCCACGCCCAGCTCCAGTGATGACTCTGACTTGGAGAGGGTGAAGCAGGTAGCTTGGGGAAATAGCTAGAGAAATGCCAGGAAAGACAGACCTGGCTCCAGAATGGTTCTAGGAAAGGCTTGGAACCTCTTCTAGCCCGAGCAAAGGACCTGGTGGGTGGGGTCTAGGGGGAGAGACACCCACACTATATTCTAGTAGCTATAACAGGCCTTACCAGTCTATCATGCATTCCTGCTGAGTCCCCAGAATCCTCAGTGGTTCAGTGGCCCCAGCTATCCATCTCTAGTGAGAGTTGGCAGGAGGCTATGTACATTTGGCAAGCTTGGTACTGGATGTTCTCCAGTACTGTTCTGCTGGCCCCAAAGATCTAGAACTCTCCTATAGAACAGTCCCATCATTTTGTGACCTTGACAGCTGTGTCGAAGGATGAAGGTGGGAAGGGTTGCTGAATCAGCTTTCTCTGTCTTCAGTCAAGAAGAAAGGGAGGTGAACCTGGTTAAGCGGAAGAATGCCAAGAACACTGCAGGGAGGGGCTGGGGGCGTGGCTCAGTGGTAGAGCCCCTGCCTAGAATCCCCCAGTGAGGGGCTGGGGG